AACAGCAACAGTAATAGTAATAGTAATAGGAATAGTAATAGTAACAGGATTAGTAATAGTAATAAGTAATAGGATTAGTAACAGTAATATATATATAGAGTGCCCAAATCGTGATTTGGAGCCACTCTTCACCGAAGGCCGATCGGTTTCCTCGGTTCTTTGGACCTTTTTGGGGGGCACCCAATGAGACGCTGCCCTGGCAAAACTTCAGATCCAGATATGCCTTTCGCTGAAGAGCAGGTATTCAGGGTGTTCTGTACACCATTCCTGTCTTCAGCTGGCAGACTTGGCAGGTGCTTGGAGCACTTAAAGATCTTCATGTTGGATGCGCATCAGTCTAGGCCTTTTCAGGATGAAAAGGGGCTACCAGAAATGCTGCAAGCCCTGTGCTTGGAGACCTCCGGTTTGAGACCCGTCACCAACGTCACGTGGGGCAGCGTCCTCCGCGCCCAGTGCACGGACGGTGCTGATGCCGCTCAAGGACTCCTCCGCCACGCGGCTGAGCTCTGCCACAGCATCCTCACAGAGATACAGAGATGAGGCGACATGTTGTCAGTGTCTGAAAATGGGAGTTCTTACACTAGGAACAAGAAGCTACTAGGAGCAAGGACGCTACTAGCGGCTCCTGGTATCACTACTATATACTCTCCCGAAGAGTGTAATTAGTTGCATTCTTACTACTAGGAGCGTCCGCATCGCAGGGGTTGGATGGGTTTGTGGAGATGTCGATGTGGGGCCCACGTCCAATTGATCTTCCATTCACAGGCTTGGTGATGGGACTGGGACCTTGAAAGTGGACAGAAGTGACTCATCCCTAGATGATCTCTCCAAGAAAGGGAGAAGAATATTCCAACCAGGACGACCCGCCAATTTTGTGTTCGACCCACTGGATTTGTTACACCATGACATTCAGGATTAATACTCACCAAAGCATCGTGGTACTTTGTGCAGAGAAAACATCGTAGTTGTGAAAGTCCTTCTCAAAAAAGGACAATTAGTTAGATTCAACCACAAGGGTGTGGCAGAATGCACACCGGAGCTAATTTGTTTCCTCAGTTTTAATTGATTTCAAAGGAATTGGAAAAGTGATTTCTAATTACAGTAATTACTGACTTTGAATAGTTTGGCCCAACTACCCGTCCGGTTTGTTTTGCATGATATGGCCAGTGGTGATTTTAGAATCACTGGGAGCCGACCTGTCATGTTCGACTTGGCCTGTTCCAAAACATTGATGGGAGTATGATACATGTTCTATCTTCACTTCCTACAGAACTCCCTTTTGTTCATGACTTGTGACTCATGACTTCTGGAAACGGGTAAGGGATCAACAAAAAAAATGAAATCGAAATTAGCCCAGCTGGAGACCCCAATAGCAAGATACAAACCGGGACAAAAAGAAAAATCTGGAAACAGCTGCTGTTTTCAACACATCGACCATCTCTTCCTTGGACACCATCATCACATAACCGGGACACCATCACAAAATGACCAGGGCACCATCAAAACATGACCGAGACACCGTCACAACATGACTGGGACACAATCAAAACATGATCGGGACACCATCACAACATGACCGCGCCACCATCACATGATCGGGACACCATCAAAACATGACCGGGACACCATCACAACACGACCGGGACACCATCAAAACATGACCGGGACACCATCACAACATGACCGGGACACCATCACATGACCGGGACACCATCAAAACATGACCGGGGCACCATCACAACATGACCGGGACACCATCAAAACATGACCGGGACACCATCAAAACAGGACCGGGACAC